AGTGTTATCAGCAATTTTCAGTTCTTTCAAAATACATTATTTTTCAAACCAAACAGTCTCCTCCAGGATCCCCAAAGTCCATTCCAGCAGGTAGAGTGATGTCAAAAAGCCTAAGTCAAGGCAGCCTATACAAAAAGGCAGGAACAGGAACCAAAAAAACATCAACAGCTTGGGAGGCTCCTCCCTGGCGGGGTCCTGATCCACATCCCGATGACATCAAGAGGAAGTCATCCAGTGGTGGACATGTAGGAGGCTGCAGGTGAGTTTGTATATAATATGCAATGGAATTGACAGATGCTATAGCAAAGTAAAACAGTTATTGCACAAAGCTTGTGATTCCTGATTTATACCGCTTACTTTAGTTCATCATTCAGAGAATTTTCATTACTTTCCATGAAGTAACTTCTGCAATTTGTTTTGTTGCAGACGGTGCCACATGTCAACAAACCTGTCGAATAATAGTGATCAACATGATCATCTGTACTCATCTAAGAAAGGAACTGCATTTAAATCCACCAAACCAAGAATCCACTCTGTTACTGTAAGTAAGGATCATTCTATAGAGTGATCCACAATATTGAAAACTTATGTCAAATTCCCAATAAATACTGGATTTGAATAAATTCAAGGGTTATTAGGGTGATTCATTGGTACAGTGTAGGTCATGTCCCTTTTTTTAAGAAAATGCTTACCTCAAGCTGGATGGATGGTTCTAGGCTGAAACATGTCGATACATTCCACTGCCTTTAGTGCCCAGGGCAAAAACAAAGTAATTGCGTTACAATTTCCACAAACTAACCACAATGTAACCAACTTAAAAGCACCTGTTGCAGAGTTTGAAAACAGTGATTAAGGTTTAGGGAGAGAGTGGGTGATCAAAAATACCTTGAAGAAGTACTCTGTCATGTAAACTCAGTTTATAATTATAATTCAGATGCTGGTACTGTAGTGGCAAGTGCTGAGTTTGAGGTCAGGGTAATCTTACTGACTTGAGTACCTAAATTTTCTATTTTTTATTTAATTCAAGGCATAAAATGAAATACATTATTACTACTAAAGAAAAAGCTACTATTAAAAATTATTTGGTCTTGTGTTTTAATTCATTGAGTCAATTTATGTGCAGCAATATGTGCTTAAGTAGAGTTCAATTTGGCTTATACAGTACCAATCCACAACAGGTTATCTTTTAGGAACACTATAAATGATTTTTTTGATCAATTTAAATGCTCATTTTAAGAGAATCACATTTATCCCAAACAACTAGAGAGAGACAATTTACTTCACTTTATTGGTTTGACTACCTGCACTTATGAAAAGCTGATCTGATAGTTAGAAACAACTACTTGTGTGCAAATATAATGATGCTGATGTAGGTGAGTTAATGTTTAAAATCAATTGAATAGGTTAACTATTAATTAAAGCTAGAAATCAAGCTAAAACAGGAATCCCGTGCCCACATTTATGGGAACATATGCCATATTTTTTTTAAATTAGGGAAACTCTGTCTCTGAATCAGAGCCTGGTGGATCAAAAATAAACTCACGAACAGGTCGGCCGGACTGGGCAGTGCAGGCATCAATCACACCTCTGAAAGCCAGTCGGCCACCAGCTGGGTCTGACATAAAACCTTCTGCTCAAACACTCGGAAATGCAAGAGGTGCCAGGGACCTACCAGGTAAATACTTTATTCTAACACTCATGTTAAGTTTTTTCATTTCTATTTGTTGACTGCATACTCAGATGATGTGATATTAGGCCCATATGGATTTGTTAATGGACTCTACTCCTGCTGGTTACTGATCTTTTGATGTTTAATTTTCAAAGCAAAAACATAATATTCATACTTGTACTAATGTTCACACTTGTAGCAAGCAATATTTGTTCTAATTTTCTCTGCTACAGCTGAGGGTTTATTTAAAATTCAGCCATGGCGGAGGCCACCTGAATATGACTCAGACTAAACAACATACATGTATGTTGGGGCGTGTCATGCCTGGTATGGTCACTGTGAGTTGCCCTGTCAGGAAATGGAGGAAGTACGCTGTCACTGGTCCTCTTGCTGCTCTGGAAATTAAAGTCATAGCTGACCTAATAGTAAAGCTTATGGACTTGTCATCGAGAAGGCCAAGAGAAGGCAGGAATGATGGATGAAGTGAAATCTAGACAACTCTATTTTCAACCCTCAGCTCCCTTGATAAGTATATGCCACTGTGTTACATCAACAGAAAAGCAGTCTCCTACACCAAGTTGGCTGTAGTGCAAGAGAGTAGATCTTGCCATATAGTACATGTTATCAGCCTTACTAAAAAAAAACAATGTACATTTGCTTATAAAGAAAAGAAACATATGTATATGGTTGTCGTTTATGAAAGCCTGTTACCAATGTAGGAATTATTTATTTTATATGGACAAGGTAATAGAGGAGTTAGCTTAGGTTTCTTTTGTCTGCATGCATGTTCAGTAGAATCAGTGTGCCATAAATTCTTGTTTGCACTTAAGATTGCTTGTTGCAAGGATTTTTAAACATGCTTCGTGTACATTGCTTGGAATTCAAAATGGAAATAGAAAAATAATGATAAGTGCAGTTAATGGCTTATATTTTTTAAAAATGAATTACAGTTTTGGCAAAAAGGAAAAGAATGGAAACTTTGTCTCACATCAGTGAATAGAGAAGGGTTCAGTGAATGCAGCAAATAAAGAAAGAGGTTCGGGGGGGGGGATTTCAGAGAGATGGAAACCACAATACACACTAACAATATATTATTATACCCCTCCCCCCTGGTGAAAATAGAGGAAAACTGATGGCACTCCCCCTTTTGGTCCCATTCCCCCCAAATCCATTCATGATGAATGTCAAGGCTAAGTTGCCGTCATAGGCCTATTTCGTTTACAGGAGATTGCTTCTCGATTCGCTTTCTTTACGAAGTGAAAATTATCAATTACACTAAAAGTAAGTTTCAGTTTTGGACGCCAATAGTGTGAATATTGGCTGAACAGCTTTTTACATATGGAAAACTCGCCTGATACAAAGACGAAAGGACACTGATTCGAGTGAGGAAGAAGCACGTGATTCAAACAGTACTATTCCCATCTTTCATGCTGTTTCTTTCTTCTTTTTTTTTTAATCTCAATTAAATTAACGTTTCCATGTTACTCCAAAATTCAACCTTATCGATCTCCTGAATTGAAACAAAAGTTCTCTTTATTACAACTCGTCTTTATCTATCCTCGTCAGTATTTTGATATTCAGATAAGAAGGAAAAAGGCCCTCAGTACACTCTGGGTCATTTTTAAAGTATTGGGTCATGCCTTGAACATTTTGGACTCTTTCATGACAACTCCTGTGAAATTGGACTTTGTAACTCCTGGTTTGGTTTACGGTAGGCAAGATGTGAATTGATTATTTAATATGTCTGCCGGGACTGGTCAAGCATGTATGAAGTTCAAGTAGTGCTAAACTTGGTTGTGCAGATTGAATGTATTCAACTCTTGTAGCTGGCGTCGGGATCTTATTTCAGGCGCATAAACTACATAAAATACAACCCTGTTATCGCTCTAAAAATTACGCAACAGTGGATTGCAGACAAACAAGCCCTCTTTAAGCAACATCCTCCAAGGGAGACTTTTGTCTTTCGTGCAACCAATCTGCATTTAGAGATAAAAAAATGATAGACTGAACTGTGTTTCCTGTGGTTTTCTCATTTAAACCTTTTGCCCTTCTTGAATGACGGGAAGACCAGTAACACAAGGGTCCTCTGTAGTCTTAGCTTCATAAGAACTATTAAATACTTCTTCGTCATCGTCGTCAATGTTACTATTTTGATCAAAAGTCTTCCCCGAAACATCACGAATCCAATTCAATATTCGATCATCTTTAAACTTGTCATCAACCTGTTCGGAATCAGTCGACACGTGTCGCAAGGAACGATGGAGGCTTCGCTGTAACGCCGGGCTGGGAGGAAGGCTTCGAACACACGGCCGAGGGCTCCAATCATCGTTAGTGGAGCTATCCGCTAAGCCACCACTGTGCCGTCCTAAACAAGTTCCTTCAATAACTGGTCTCAAATCAAGTGACAGGGAGAGTCGTTTTGGGGAGGTCCTTGGCGATAGCCTGGATGTTTTACCGCAAGAAAACAATGTTTGTCCCCTACACACGTTGGGAGTTCCAGGTCGACTCGGACGTATTCCGCTGCTATTTAGCTGCTTTGATTTCGTTTCCTCAATGCGGTTTTGGATCGGAGGAAGCGATGATTGCAAGTCTGTGTCGCTTCGCCATTGCCGACAATTCAGACGATTGGCGAATGGAAATTTAGATGGTTTAAAACTTTCCATGTCAAAATCAGGGTACAGATCTCCTCAAAAGTGACGCAGAGGCAGACTAAAATCTTGGACTAGCCTGATTTCCATAGTAATGTTTTTCGGATTTTTCTCTCTCATGCTCAAATCGCCAAGTTGTATCCAAGTTCTGGGTTAATTAACCACATTACTACCATGGTATAACAACTTTCGCCAATTAAAGATCTTTTCTTTTAACCGGCGTTTTACAGCATTAACCTAAGCTGGAATTTGCCTTGCATTCCTAGACTCGTACGTTCCATCTGATAGCTTGTCACATGCAAACAAAGGATGTAGACTCAGTGCTTTATTTTAATGCCAGGGATCAGTTTACTAAATAAATGACTTCTGTCAGAGTTAACTAATTATGTTAATTCCTTTGTTTGAGGACTTGTCAATTAGCAATGTTTAAAAATCTAAGCCAACGTTTTTATTTCGGAATGATTGGATTAACACATTGTTATATTTTGAAATTGTCCTTACGATGCATTTCTTGAGCTGATACTGATGAAGCGGGCTTTTATTGCTGGATGTTCAGGCACTACTGTAGAATTTTTTCTCTTTTCTCCAGTCTCCCTGTTACACTTTATGAGGTTTTGAAAGTCATTGATTACGGACTCTTTTGTATCATGTGGTCTATTTGAATTTAGACCGACATACTAATTCATGAAGTACGGGTGTTGATTCCGAAACCGACCTTGGATAAGCAAAAGAAAACTTCGGCGTCGGAACTAAAGCAGTTACACAGTCGAAATTCCAGCCAAGACTAGTTGGGAAGAACGGCTGAGCCGTGTCAAATGAAAGTGGACTTAAAGCGAAAACGAACTTTTCTTGTACACACATGGTGATGTAAAGTTCAGCGTTAAAACCGAGCATGCGTTAGAATGAAAGGCTTCATAGGCGCACAAGCAGTAAAGGCTGTGGACCACAAGATCGACCCGACGGAATTGATGGAAAACTGGTAACTACAGGTATTCCTAGGCAGCGTGCGAAAATCGTCGAGGTGAAGTAATAAATCGGTAAGATACCAATGTATAACCTCAGCCCCACCCACCCACCCACCCCACCTTAAGCTATCCACCCGTTTCTTTTCTAAAGGCTGGATGGGCCTTTACCCTCTCCTTGTTCCCTCCAACTCACTACTGAATAATGCTGCAGAAGTTAACTTCATTTTCAGGAAAAGATCTGTGAGCATTGACTTAACAGCTCTCTCGAGAAGTAAATAATTTATTGCCAGATAGAGCTTTTCAATTTACTTGTGCCGGAAAGAAAAGGCTTTGCCAGCCAATATAGCCTTTAAGTTGTATTTTTCAGGGATGAAAATATTCCTCGCACAGTATTAATGATCCTTTTGACCCGTTACATTACTGAGAGAGAAGTGTACAAATAGAGATCAAGCATTGCTCAACATCCAACCAAACATGCGGGTAGTGACAGGTAATCAATTCTCTTATGTACAGGCAATAAAGTTACTTATCAACTGACCATCATTACATATTGACAGGTATTGTCTGGGAACGATCCAGTGTTACCGGTCGGCTGTCATACGCCTTGAGGGATGAATCTCGTGGCCTTTCTCGTCGCACAGTGATATGATTCCACCGGAAACGAGCGACACATGGGTAAGATCCCTTGGTAAAGATTTAGTAATCTGAGTAGTTGTAACGTGTTTATTTGAGGATCCGGGGCTCAAGGTTAACGCGCTGTTTGTAAATTTATGTGGCAATCCAATGCAAATTAATGACCAGTTGACGATGATGTTGGCGAGTATTGTGTGTCGTGATTTACGCTGGAGAAGATGACTTACCGCTCGCTAATGAGGGAGGTTAGTAACCATTTCCTGTTTCCGTTTTCGATCAATGTTCAAAACAGAGAAAGTGGAAGATTTTCAAGCCGTTTATTATGTAGCCATTTACGGTGTTTTAACGAGCTTTGACAAGGAAAGATTGATGTTATTAATAGGATTTTCGACAAATTGCCTCATGGTCTCATGGCTTAAAAACTAAAATCGCGTGGGCGGTCAGACCTTAAGCGTTGAGATGAGATAAGAGCTCTAGTCGTTATCCTGCCATTGCTGTATTTTGTAGTTCAACTCAACAGATGCCTAAAATTCCCCACACGGTTATTGGCTTCGACCTCTCTTTGCAAAGGATCTAGAGTCAAGACGTCAGTTATAACCCTTTTAATCAATCGCCGACCATACTCAGGGACGTTAAATGGCTTTCTTTTGTCCGTCCGTAATTGGAAGGAATAGGAAACCTGCCAACTCAGGGAAGTTTAAAGGTAAGCATTCCTGGGTTGAAAATTTCTGAGCTCATTTTTATTCATTGAACCCGGCTCGTCGCCCTGTTGTTGTTGTCTTGTAACTGTGCAACATTGATTTGTCGATTTTCTGAATAAGAAACGAAATAAATTCCACGGCAGGGGTTGGGTCGTAAAATCTTCATCTAAAGAAATAACATTCTTTCCACGGTGATTATGAGTAAATATACAGTCAATATTGCTTCATGATCAACGTTTAGAACATTTTTAAACTGGGTTTATTTTCGATTGCACATTACAGTAATATACTCAAGATGGAAGTTTAAAAAATAAAAAAAAAATAAAAAACATGAAGAACATGAGATGAAAAGATTAAGAATTTATAACAATGCTTTTTAGTTGTGTAGCTTTACTAAACAAACATAAGCGTGATAACAATTCGCGTGGTCTACTTTTCTTGCTTTAGGTTTAGAAATTTCGAGTGTAGAGTGAGATCCTCCTTATACTTTCCTTTCAACGGTTGGATCTCTGGACGAACTATTCATCTCTTGTTGTATTTCAGAATTCGTTCAGGCTCAGGCAAATACGAGTTAGTCAGCTCAAGGTCTGATACAACAAATGTCTTTACACTTGGAAGGATTAAGCCGAATTGGTAACCGGTATCCAAAACAAAACAGTTTGTTTGTGACTCTTGAGAGAAAACTGTTAACATATTATCGCGCTTTTCCACTTGAAATACACCCAACTGAAAAGCTCTGCGATGAACATCGTTCGCTGAATGGAGAACAATTGTATCTCGAACAGCAAATTGTGCCAGGTCCACTTTTCGTCCATACCATCTCTTTTTTTACATTTAGTTTCTGAACGGCGAAGAAACAATTATGCGCAGTCATTTAATTTAAAGACTTGACCGTTGTGTTTTCGATATCAACGGACAAGGCTGACCGAACATCGAATTAATTGTGGATTTTTTTTGTAGTTTTCTACCGGAATCAGTGATAAAAATATTACAAGCATGACACAGCACAGACTTCTTGACGCAATATTAGAAAGTCGTGTAAACTTGTCGAGTCTCAACTCACAACACTGTTTACTTTTTGCGCAAGCTTTTGGATTTTTGCATAGTTTTGTTTCCGCTTTCAGTAGACGAATGGTAGAAGTGTTTGCACAAAGCTGATAAATTATTTTATCAAAAGATAAAGACTTCATCTGATTTCTAGATTTATTATGTCAATAGGTCGTCTCCATGGTTCATGGTACAACTATGTATGAAAGTTTTCAAGATTTATGTGTCAAATCGTAATAAATAAAATATTATTAGAAATCGATGTAATTGTCATTTTAATTGTTGTTACGGTTTTCTTATTTGTGAAAGGTCTGCGAATTCATTTTACATTTAATTCTAGAAATTTTTCGAGGTTTACCAAAGCAACTTGGGCTATAACCTACGCTCATTTTTTTTTTTTTTAGATGTCGTCAGAATATCGAAGTATTTAGACATTGTAGTCGTCATTGAAACGGTCGTTAGGTCGTTATCACGAAATAATTAAAACAATCATGAGAAATGAAGAAAAAAGTATTTAACAGGCTTTTGCTGTGAACGAAGGGAATTGATACAGGCTCCCTCTAGCTAGAGTGGCATTATGAGAAAAAGAGAGACAAAACGAAAAGCAGAGAAGGGGAGGACAAGAATTTCGAATACCCTTCTTGTATTTGTAGGCCTGTAGCATTAGACCTCTCATACTTTGGACCCATTAAGTGTGGAATTCGACAACGTTTTAACTATATCATCAGGAATGTTCTAGTTGCGTACTTTACTAAGACTTTCGATGAAAATGAGCTCACATCAACTTCACTCCTTGACCTCAGTTCGCAATGCAAATCAATTTGTTTATTATCTGCGCGTCTCAGCCTCTTTTTCCGTTTGGCAGCTGGACATTTTTGGTGGGGCAGCATCCTGATCAGCTTTGGTCATTACATGATATTAGTTAACTGACGCGTTGAGATTAGGTTAGGTTGCTAATCGCCTTCAGCCTTCCCGGCTCGAATTACGCCGTGTTCAGCTTGTTTTCAGATTTCACACGGTGGAGTTACTAACTGTAACCAGAATCAAGTTTCTTTTCTCCATTCGAGCTTTTCGTAGACTAAAGAAGAAAATACTTTAAGGTACCTGTGTTGGAAAGGAATATTATCATCACAGGTTTTTTTTCCTTTTTTAAATCAGTGAAGGTAATCGATCGATGCTCAGGAAAGAAATCAAGTGTTCAGTCGTAGCGGGAGTAAAACTTCTGATCAGTGTGTTACAAATTACTTCAGGGACAGCTTGGCCATTGGACTAAGATGATGTATGTCGATATATTTCTCAAGTTTGTGCAGTGATGAAAATAGAGATGGTACATTACTGGGATAAGCCTGGTGACTAAAGTGTCTCGTTCCCACACTAAGTGGCTTACTGCACAAATTGACAAACCTTATCAAGTTCTATTCCTACAACTGTGTTGTGACTCTTGTTTTTTTTTTATGGGTAATAAGTCTAATCCAGTTGATTTTTTCAACCTGACAGCCCAGCTTGTAGAGCGTTTAGGACTGACTGGGTGGTGCTACCTTAGATATCAAAAGTGCACATTGTTTAAGGGATAAAGTAATTAATTTTATGATAATCCTTCCGTTGTTAATTCAACTCAGCGCTCTCAACACAAATATTCCTGCTTTGTAAATAGGGTTTCATGTTGTCAGATTTACCTTTAATGGCGCCGCTGACGCGTATGTCTTAGATTATCCATATTATGGCGGATATTGCACCTTCGAGTTCTCTTTAGCGTGAGTTTTCTCATGCAATCGTTCTGAAAATTTTATGAGGCGGTCTGGAAGATATTCTCTATCAGTAAGTCAAATCAAAACATCAGAATGTACGGGTTAGTAACATTCTTTACCTTCTTCAATATTCATGTTAATAATAGCAACACAAGAGGATGATGACTGGCTGAGCAAAAACTTATTAGAGACAATTAAACATGACAAAACTCACGGGAGAATGATTGAGAATAAATTCTTGTTACTAATGTTGCTGAAAGTTTTTTTTAAATTTAGATATTTTTTTTACTAAAGGCCAAACTGGTGCACAGTCCATTCCATCGGGTTTGTAAAACTGTAACATTAAATTAGCGCGCAGAAGCGTACAAACGGAATCCTCTCAGAAGGAATCCAATAATGCACACAGGCCATTAAAATGTCTTCTGCTCGTTAAAGATTTTTTTGTACCAAAATAGTATCAGAATGCTTTGCTTCAGTCACTGATGTGTAATTCGACCACGAGATGCTAAAATCTCCATCAAAAATGCAATTTCAAATCAGGATCCCACAGAGATTCTCCTCAAGGTTAATTACATTTTCCCATTGACTGATCGAAAAAGAAGATGGATGTTGAAAGTGAGATGTTCACTTTAGGTTGCCAGATCGCTAGAAAACAATTTTTTCCACTCCATTCAGTTAATAAGCTTTCTCGGAATGGAAAAAGCAGCAGCGCAATCAGCTTTTTTGTCTAGCTTTCTGGAGAATAAGAAATTATGAATTACATTGTGCATTAATACAGGTCTGGTATGCCAGCTTTCTCCCTCTCTCTTTCTCTAGAATATTAAAGATGACGTGTTCCCGCAAATTGTCAGCCAATAAACTTGAATAAACTGATATATGGATTCTTTAACCACGCAAACAGAACGGCTAAAGCATCTGGGGGTAAAACAAATCTAGTTTAGCTCTTAAATGTGTTAAAACTCAAAGACAGACAATTGATTCGATGAACTGAATTTTGCTAACAACAGTTATCCTTCGTTAAAAGAAGAAACTTTTCAAATTTAGCCAATTTCAATAATGGATAATTGTGCTTGTGATTATTAAGAGTTATTTCGCAAATTATTGTGCACCTCAAATTTAGGTTAATATAACTTCAGTCACCAGAATTAGGTATTGAAAAGAGATTCATGAAACCGTGAGTGGTTTGCGAGATAGACATGAATGCAATATTTTCTTAAGCAAATATTTGGAATTTTTTTTTATCATTCAAATACATTTTCTCCTCTTCTCTTACTTGTGCTGTGAAAAAACAGTGGGAGGGGCAATACGACTTTGAACAATAACTTTTAAGTCTCCTTCAGCTTGAATTAAAATTTGCATGTTTAAATTGAGTATTAATATAAGAATAGTTGATCTATCCGATAGCTTTTTGTTTATATTCAAGGTTTGAACATGACAAAGAACTCTCAAATACAGGAAGATATCGAATTCTCTTTGATATCCTGTCATCCTTCCGATTTCTAATTATGTTCCAAGCACCTGCTCCCACTTTTTTTCGCCGAAAAGAAAATATTTTTATTCTTTTCTTAAATTGCTTATTGTTTTAGACCTTTCAAATTGGACGGCTGCAAATCCAAAGCGTAGCTTAACGTCTCCTTGATAATAAACAAATGATTTCAATACGCCATATCAAGGATCACAGAGTGAATCTAAATCCTGAATATTTCGAGGTATCCATTAAAAACTCGACATAAGTAGGCTGTAATGAACGTACGCGTCAAGCATCTGCCGTAGCCATGGTAACGCCAAAAGCTGTGAAGCACGAGACTTGTATGATTGTTTGCTAATGAGTTTCCCTCCTTCAACGACACACTACATTTTGACTCAAGTGTCAAGCGACCTCCCTAAAGCTGCATTTCAACCGAAAAAAACCGTCAAACATGGATTGGGATTACGATCAATCAGAAGACGGTGAGCAAAGTGCCTGTTATTCCAGGAAATTTCGAAATTCAAACTTTGTGTAAAAGTATTATCTAAGAAGTGTTTGTAATATTGGTAACATTCCAAACGATTATGCATAAAATGGAACTGAGGACTAATCAACCGGCTTTTTTTGGCAATGAAATAATTCTAAAGCCGTTTTCTTGTGCTTCGATCAACTTTCAATGATGGTTGTTTCCCTAAGTTCCTAAGTATAGCTTAAATTTTGTCGATATAACACTGATGGGATTGACTTTGGAGTGATGTAGGTAAATCAAACCTCCTAATCTGCGAAGGTTTTGAATTATCATAACATGACGTCCCCAAGGACTGGCAGAAAACAACAAAGCAATTCCCTTAAAATATGAGAAGTGTCGTAGAATATTATGCTTATATTTGCACAATTTTCACAACGACTGATGGACTGATCTGTGGCGTTTTCTTATATCATTTTTTATCTTATCTCTTAGTTTTCATTTTCGGAAAGTCCTATATCGATTTCAGAGAAAAAGAAGGAAGTTCATTTAGTAACTCGAGAAATGCGTCAGTCGTACTATTTTTAGTTTGTAAATTGGAAAAATTGGGGTGTTTGTCTTATTGAGGAAAATAAAGTTTTTAATTTTAATTATTTTAATTGCTCTCAATAAAAAAAAAACTATCCTTAGAAAGAGAAAAGGTATCAAAAAGCTCACTTGTAAAGTGACAGTGAATTACACTGTCATCAAGCTCTAACATCTTTATCTTTGAAGAAAAGGCAAAATCATTTGGAAAGTATGAGCTTTATGTTTGGATATTCGATGAAAAGGAACTTGTTGATAAGAGATCAAGGATCATTTTTTAAACGTCCAAAACTTCTATGGTGTATCTACGTGCAAGCATGAATTGATGAGTGCGTCATTCAAAGCACAAAGCATTCTTATTCAAATTTCATCAACTGGAAAAAGGATTCTGTTTGGATTTTGGGTCAATTTCACTTAAATTCATGGCACGTTTTCTCTAAATTATAACAATGTCACTGAATACCTTGCATGTAGAACTTGATTAAGGTTAATTTCTCGTAAAAGAATGAAAATTCGGTCATTTCCGCTTTTTTTGTGCATGGCAATGAACAAATGTCCACGTACTGCATACATCAGTGATTATAAGGCAACTTGTACCACTGGTTTAGCTGTGTGGAACCCAAACAAAAGGGCCTGCTCGGTAAGAGGTCTTATAGGCGGCAGTAGTAACTGATAACCAGATTTTGTTGAAACTACTGGGTATCACGTATTTATTTATAATCAGGGATTTCACTGATATCAAGTAGTACTTAGGTTGAAACGAAAAAGTGCCCTGTGACAGAGGAAAAGATTCAGTGGCCCATATAAATGTTTAGGTATTGCTTGCAAAAAGTATCACCACACAATTGCCCTTCCTGACAACTCAGTTATAAACAAGGGAAAGAAACTGAAATAAGAGGATTGTATTTGTGTTTCCAAAATACTGATAATGAAATTGTTAACTTAAGATATGTTGCACGAATCCAACGAAAGTAAGTGCTCCCAATACTCGTCTAGACCTCTGTGCCGCACGCGCTACAGGAAAATTCGCGCGCGTAGACGGCATTAGAGAGCTTAAGCACAAACGTTTTTGAGACGCGGACGGGAGGTGGAAGTTACAAGTTCTCATTCCTGATGCTCTAAAAACCTTTCGATCAGCACAGTTTAATTTAAAATGCTAAAAACGACGACCCTACTGTAGATAAATTGGTGTCAAAGCCCGCGAAAGTTATATTTTTCTGCCGGTTGCCGTCCGCGTCTCAAAATCGCCTCTGCCTAAGTTCTTTATCGTGAATACCACACTGATAGACAACTTCCGTTCAAAAAATAAGTTTCGAACGTCAACCAATTCCATTTTTTTTCCTCAGTTTATACAATGAAAAAGGCAAGGAAAATGAAGCTGCATACATTGAATCCACTATTACCGGGCGGCGGCGGACAAACAGAGCTGGGCATTGACCAACAAGATGATGATAGTGACAGTGGTATAAGTCAGGTGTATAACCCAGTCAGTACATACAGACGCGCACAGTTCTCTCTTCCAGACATTGCAAAAACTGAACTAGCATCAAAGCTTTTAGCCGCCACTCCAGCTCATCCAGCTCACATTAAGGCCAGAGTTCTATGGAGATATAATGCTGTTGAACGAACAGACTTACAAGTCGAAAAAGGCGAAATTATACTACTTCTTTACCGAGAAAAAAGCAAGGTTTATGCAGTCAACAACAAAGGAAAAAGTGGGTTTATACCCTTTAATTACTGCACTGTATTAAGGAAAAACGATTTTGTGTCAAATGTTTACCATCCTCAAAGTGAGAGAAGAAACTACGAAAAATGTTCATGGCAAACAAATGGCTGCCATCACGAGTTTGTAGATGCCTCTTATTACTCAAGAACAGTTACTTCCCCTAATTCTCATATTCATCGAAGTCGGAGTGAGGAATCTCTTTGTTCTCACAACGACTGTGAGTCGCTAAGTAGGAAAATTTCATCGTCACTAGAAGACTTATCCGACGACAATCGAATTGCCACGATGATGTCCGATCTTATTAACTGGGATCGCAAAGCTCCTGAGACCTACAGGCGTCGGCAGAAAGTTCAAGTGAGCCATTTCCGAAAGTTTGAAAATGAGTCTGTAATGGTTTTATTTGACTTTCATGCCGCTGATGAGAATGATGTGGACGTTCAGCGAGGAGAAGTCGTGACGGTTTTCAATAGAGATGATCAGGATTGGTGGTGGGTAATGAGAGATGACGGGTTGGAAGGATTCATTCCAAGTTCTTATGTGTCTATTGAAGCAGTTCGAATGTCTCCAGGTAAGTCCTCGAGGCTATTCAAATACTCTCCCCGCAGAAAATTTACTTGAACTTCAGACATTAACTGTGTTTTAAAAGAAAGGACGTGCTACTAAATTCAGACGAGGTACACATGTTTAGGTGCTCGCCGACTTCTATAAATCTCATGGTCACTGAAGACATCTTAAACTTTTCAGATTTTTCCTGCTGTTGTCATTGTTTTGGTTTCACGTCACATTACATTTTTATTTTTTAGAATGCACACCAAGGAGTACAGATAGTTCAGTTGGTAGCTCAGAGGGAAGCATTAATCAAGTCAGGTTTCAAGATCCACTCTGCACTATACACAGTTACGAGATAGAGCACTCGGACTCAGACTCTGTTGGACCACATGAAACACATGACTCAGATGACGAGGAAATGTACATGGACTCAAAGTGGAGTACGTGGTGTTGAAGTAAAAATGTAATAGGGTTCGTCACTTGAGCATACATAATTTCATTACTATTAAGAGATGTGAAGTGTAAGAGACAAACTGTTTATCGGATAAACCTACTTTTCGGGAAGTTTTCAAATCTTTATTTGGTTTCTTTTCATCAGCCTTGTGTAAATCCGAAATATTTTTTTTGCCATCATTTTTGCAAGCTGTTGAAGGAAATTTTCTCCAGCCGCTAAAAAACAGCAATTTCAGCTTACCACAGGCTAGTTCATCTTTATAAACATGTAAACGTAAATTTTATGTGGGAAATTCATCTAGCTCCTTATCGTGTGCATTTCCTCTAAGACTAATGTAATAAGAAAGAATTAAAATTTATGTTAGTTCTTAAACTGTTGTATTCAAGTTTGTGAGATGGCATCATTTCTATCATTGGTATAAATATTATTCCTGGAAATTGATCCATGTTTATGATAAAAGCAAACATAACTTAGGTAGAATTACCTCCGGCGTTTGTACCCTTTTCTTCGTTGAAGGCCGATGTTTAACTGATTCGCAGGCCCGGTAGTAGCTTCAGATTTCGCTGAAAACTAATATTTTGATACTTACTCACTCTGCTTATCAGCCTGGGGTTATATTTCCCCTACTGAACTTATCGTTCTCTTACCCATTTTCCCTGGCCGATTGGCCAAGTGGATTTAAAACAATCTGGGTACAATCCATACTTCCGGCCGGCGTCACTTTACGAAGGGTTAAACTGATATCTTTTTCCTTTTCTTTTCTTTCGCGCTGAAACTCGTCTTTCTATATTATCAATTGGACTGCGGATATAACTTGTTCTGAGCTGTAAACGGTTTACTCAGACCTTTCTATTGGCCTTCGGTAGACACCTCTCTCTGCTCTTATTTCCTCGCTCTCTTGGTGGTAATCTAAGCGAAATTAGTATAAATCTACAAGCGCTCTATCGCAAATGTCGTAACCTTATTGGCTGCATAGCTCACTCTATTCCATGATGGATGGTGGGTGTGATACAGTTTTCAACTGTAAAAGTCAAAGTAGTTACGATGTTTAGAATAGAAGATCAAATGAGGGAAACCAACGCGCCATGCCGATATTTCAATGGAGCCTTCGTTAAGTATTTAATCACCTTAGTGGTTACCTGATAAAATGAAAAGAGTAGCAGTGAAGTATGTTCGCAAGTTCTAAAAGGTTAAAATTCTTACAATTCTCTAAAAAATATTCTATCAAAGTCTGAAGTGACTTGAGGTTGGTTAAAATCTTAAGAATATAAGTTTTCACCTCTGCTTTTAAATAGATAAAACGTATGTCTTTTCTTAGGCAATTATTGGCCAGGTTGTTTCAGTCTTCATTATACACGTGGTGTGACCTTAGTTGTATCATTATACAATAAAACACGAAACTGAAACGTTTGACTAGTCGATTTATTTCAGGTCAATGATAACAGTAATGGTAACAATAATAATGATAATAGTGATGACGATGATGTTGGTAGAGGCCTTGAAAACATTACAAAGAGAAGGAGCTTCAACTTTTATCTATTTTTTTTTTGTTCTGAGACATAACTTAAGTTTCACTATTTGAAAAAATGTTAAATATGAACTTTTTCTGTAGAGAAAAAAAAAAACGTCTATGTCAGGAGTGGGATTCGAACCCACGCCTCCATTTGGAGACCAGAACGCCCGCTCTCGTGTCACACGAGAAGGATGTTATCCTTGAGTCTGGCGCCTTAGACCGCTCGGCCATCCTGACAATATATTGAAGTCGAGTTAATTTTCAGTATTTATTAGTTTACTATGATATTTGAATATTTCGATCATCCAAAGTAGTAAAAGTTTTGTTTTTCATCCACATTTATTTCTATCTATGGGTAAGTCTCGTTTTCTTCGAGGTTCTCCTAAGTTTTGTACGGCCTAAGGGAATCTTTCATTCTCTGCATTACTACGACGGGCCAGAAGCTTTCGGACTGGAACCTAGTTTGGCGAATGCAAAGAAGTAATGGCCTAAAGAGCCTGAACGATATAAATGAACAGTAATAACTTGTTTTTTAACCTGGGGAAAGTGATTATTTGCACAAAATATTACAGCCCTGACTTATTTCATGAACGAGGATCAAGAGAGACCGTGAGATGTGTTTCACTCGTGGAGAAAAGTGAAGGGAAACATGCTCAGTGTTTAAAAGTGATATTGAATGCTGATACGATCTTTGCCAAGTTACTTTGGAAACAGATCACTACCTCGCGTTTCTTTGGTGTTCATTTATCATCATGGCTTTATTCCCAGTTGAGAAGCAATACTGAAAGAAACGGTGAGAGAACTTTGATTTTTACTGGGAACTGACAATCGTTGATTTTACACATAAATACCACAGCGCACCTACAATGTGGGAAAGGAAATTAGGAGTTACTCTTTTTAACAAAATCTGTTTCACGTACAACACCCAAAAAATATGAACTACTTGAATGATCGCAAAATTTACTGATGCAAATCTACTTCAAAGAAGGAAAACACCAAGCATTCAATGGGGAGGTTTAAATTAAAACCGAATCATGAAATTCTCCTCCCACCTTCCCTAAAATCCATTCCCAATCTGGTATGATAGACCTTGATGTCAGCTTTCTAACTTTGGCAGCCTGGTACTATGGAGGGGTTGAAGGAGAGGTCTCATTCCTCCAAAATCCCTCTTCCTAAGGCAGAGCACAGGCAGAAGAAGGTCAAATCACATCAAACTGTGTGCCATTACTATTATGGTTTCTCGTGATGATGTGACCTCAGCATCTAGGCTGACATGGTTATGGCAAGTTGGATTTTGCTGCCTTTTTGATGAGCTTGGGTGCCATGTTTATCATTAATTTATAATTGTAATAGGATCAAGTGGAGTCCAATGTGGTCTGTAATTATACAAGTGATTAACTAAATCAGACAACCACAAAGCAAGAGTCCACTTTGTCAATCACTCTTATAAGTACAGACAGAATTGGATGAAATAAAGTCCTGATACCAATTAATCAAAACTATGACAAAGTTTGGGAAAGGAACTAGACATTGGTGATATGTTTTTATAAAAAAAAAAAACAAAAGTTAATGTAGCAAAATGCGAGACAACAGTGCGCACACATGATGCGTTCTGTCCACTTAGTTACACAGACATTTCATGCTAACTGCCCCTTTAACTGTCAAATTACAAGCATGATGCACAGACTGTCCTAGTAGTGTTCAGATGGCTCCCCCCCTTCCCCAAAGCAATTCTAGGCATTTGAACTTTTAAAGATTGGTTCATTCAAAGTTCTGTCCCCTGTGCACCAAAATAATTTATTGTGTTCAAAAGCCCCACCAAAGAACCTGATTTGATCGTCTTTTTTTTAGTAAAAGGCAAGATTAGCATTGATGTATTTCTTGTATTTCTTCTTTTCTATATCTCTTGGGAAAGTGAACTTTTACCTTTAAACACCTTCATATGAAAAGATAAAACACATTTATTCTGTTGAAAAGACTTGATAGTTCTGGTTCAAATTACTCACCTCAACCAGGCAAGGTTCAAATTCCCCACTCCACAATGCTTGGATAATAATCAAATGCCTGTAGGTTGTGCTTCGTATAAGACTGTGGAAATTAATTGATTGTTTCAGTAGCTTCCAGCTAATAAAGGCAAATTTGTGGTTACTAATCAATCTCAGGAATGTTACAATTATGGTATAAGTTAATATTAAAATTTTTAGTCAGGGCAGTCTACATCACTATAGCTCCACTTCAGGCTGCAGTGCACTTTGATTATTCTTTTTCCCTTGTTTGAAATAACTTAAGGCTTTCTATTCCTATTTTCCTCTCTGTGCTGCAGAGCAGCTGTCCTCTGCCTTTAATGGCATGATTGATCTTGGTGAATCATGTTCAATCAATATACAAGGAGAGCTAAGTGAGATGAAGATTCCAACATTTTGTAAAATTGTGGTGAACATTGGTGTTCAGCCTTTAGCACGTTTATGTCTGGAGCCTGATCTCAGGTGGTAGGTGTATCATTGAAGTATTGTTATTCTCTCCTCATTGTACCTTTATAGTAGGAGATGTTTATTTTACTGATTGAAAGTTTTTGAGCATTACTCATTCACATTAATGGTGAATTTGTAGGTCAAAGCGACTTGTAGCTGAGCTTGTAGAGTTCATGCAGTTACAAGATGTGATGGCATGGTTGTCAACCTTAGGAGGGGCATATTCTGCAATGGGAGACCATCTTTGTAGTTATGTGAGTGATCTTAGACTATGGGCAGTTGAAGCAGATGTTGACTACAATCACTCTATGTTCACTTGACTTTTAGTGAAGTTGTAATTATTTTCAATTACTAAGCTGGTTGGGTGTCTTTGATAGTTCGTAACTAGACTGAAATGTGATTCCCAGAATTAATTTATCACTAGATTGCTGTAAACTTAACAAGTGAATCAATGATCTCTGAACTACTGGAAATAGTACAATAATTAGTGACTGTGGAATAATGGTCTTACAAGCTAACTCTTACTAGTGTCATAAATTCTAAATTTTTTGTTTTTTCACAGTCTGAGAAAGCTGGTCAGATCTCTCAACATCAGTTACTTGTGGCCTTGAGATTAGGGAATCCAATTCTTGTGGCACAGTGCAAAGTCTTTGCTGCATTTAGTTTTATACAACGTGGACAGCTGAAACTAGCAGCTAAGATAGTAAGGTATATCACTAAAAATTGTGGGTTGTGTATGGGTATATATGCAGAAAATGGAGCTATGCTATTGGTGGGAGTATGGTGATGAGAAAACAAGTATAAATTAGTTGAATGAAATGCATTTGATACTGTGGGGATTAAGAGTGCTGATTTAAAAGATAACTTTATACCATTGCATTACTTTTGGCAATAAGTGCAATCTATAACCCAAAGCCTAGGTGTGAGGGTGAAAGTGAGAGTGAATGGAATCCAATCAGTATTTTCCTTCTCAGCTGTTTGTAGTACTAGTTATACATTGGAAAAACAGGAAGACAAGTAGGTGACTGATTCTGAGAACACCTTTGCAACTTAGAAAGAAATGGCATGGACATCAGTCACTGGACACTTTAATCTCCCCAATCATTCTTAGCAGGAAATGGCAGTTTGCAGCCTTTCCCTACATCTAGACAGTTTAGAAAGCTTCAAAACTCTAGAACAAAAATTTATCTTTTAAATTGGCACTCCTTATCCTCATGGTATCTATGAGCACTTATTATTCAACTAATTTATTCTTGTGTTTTGGTCAACATATTCCCACCAATAGCATAGCGCCATTTTCTGCATATAAACCCACACACAACCCACAATTCCTCCAATTGCTCTGACGAAGGGCTAACACTTGAAACGTCAGCTTTTCAACTCATTATGGTGGCCAGTTTATACTGTCAGTCATTTAGTTAGTTAGCTTTTAGTGCACCGATTAGCTGGAAGGAACGTTTTCAATCTTATTCATTCATTTAATGTGCTCTTTCAGGGAGCAGTACGCACTTGCAACATCTCATGGTGTTGGAAGAGATGATAAGGTAAGTGACAAGCTGGGTAAAGTTCGTCATTCAGTCAGCAGGACTAGAAATAATTATGATAAAAATAATAATAATGATCAAGAGAATAAATGTTACTTATTTATTTATATTGTGTTCATTAGTTTATTTTATGAAATTAAATTTTAGGGAATAATTTCAAAATAATAATTCCTCATTATCTCAAATTGTTCAACACTTAACTGCTGTCATTTTTGTTTTATAATATCAGCTGATATCGTCATGTAAAGCTGCTTGGCACAGAATAAAACACTTGAAAAAACAGAAAAAGGTATCTTTATTAAAGCTAAGACCTGTTTGAGACAGAAAAACTGTTTCTAGGTGGTTAAAGAATTTACCTTAGGGAATAATATTGATTCCTACCTAGATTTACTACTAGGTTAATCTATTGATTGTCTAATTGATTCATTTATTGATCACTCATTGGGTGCAATAATTGACTTATATATGTCCTGATACACCTGATTGGCTAGCATAACCAAGTGCTAAATTGTTAGATGTTTGTTCAAGGCAAAGAAGGGCTGGAATAATTAATGTTTTCCTCGCTATGTTGCCACACAAATGTTAGGTTATATCACTCACACTATTTCAATTTTTTACTTTTTTTAATTCTTAGATTGACCAAGAAATCATGAAATCAATCACATGATATGGAGCATTTAGCTGTTTTGATGTTCCCCATCTGGTCTTGCCAATATTTGTCATCTTATTGCTGGACAAACTTGTAGTAATTTGTCACTCTTCTTCAAGAAGCAATTGGAGGAGATTTCTGAATGAATGCAATGTACCTTGCGAGTAACTTACAGACAACTGATGATATTGAAAATTATACTATCAGTATTATAACAGTTCTTTACTCTGCTGACAATTTCAGTAAAGGACAGTCAGGCAAATGCAACCAGCAGGATATCTTGTGTCAGAAGGCTGTTATAAATTTAAAATGTAATTTAGAAAAGCCTGTCTAAGGACCCATACAAACAATAAAACAAAACCATGTATGACAAAAATTACCCATTAAAGTAAACCAGTTAACCTTCAAACATGGAAGTTAACAGGCTGAGCTTGCATGCAGTTAGTGACATAAATGTGGGTTATTTGAGGGACAATCACCAATTTGGAAGAATTAAAACTTAAAATGTAGGTTTAGTGCTGTGAGGGATCTGGAACATGATTCCTTGTTCTTACTGCTATTAGGAATAAGTTTGATATATTAATATAAATATGTGTGTTTGGATGGTTTTGTTCTCTTTGTTTGTAAAAGGATGGAATGTTAAGTCAGGGCTGAAAGTTTTATTTTGTGGGGGAATGCAATGTCAGGACAGTCGTCTGTATTCAAGATTCTTGTGAGAATGATCTGCATTCAAAAAATTAGGACTGTACTAAAACAAACCAGTGTACCAATTCAGCGTTTCATTTTAGTTATTTTGAACTGTATTTTGCTTTACACTCACGTGTATTGAGCACTTTCCTTCAGCATTTGGTACAATTTCCCACAATAATTCCATACTCACATTTGCCCACATCCACTGTGTTCGATTTTAAGCTCTCTTACTCTCATAGGCCAATAATTTGCTTGTAGCCACATACAAAGTGTGAAACTTCAGTCAATCAACCTGAAGACAGTTATTTTCCAGCATGAAAGGGTATTACATTGGAAAACTATCTCAATCCATTTTGAAGAGTGAAAACAGAAGTATTTTTCTAACAAACTTCACCATTAAGAGTGTTTTCAAGTAAGGTCAATTGAGTGAAACGTAGATTTAGAATAACGTATGATTAACTGACAAGAACCAAGAAGGAGAGATAAAGATCTGTGTACATCTGACTTACAGCGGGGGCTGGGGGTGGGTGCCGTTCGGAGGTCAAAGTTGATCACGTGACTCGGAAGCCATTTTGGAGTTGATTTGTCACTTGCCTACATTGTAAGAAAGTTCAACTTTTCCTCTTTTCTTCAGATAATTGTGGATTGGCGATGGCTTTTATCAAACGAAGATGAGTGTTTCACTGTTGTGTCATGAGTTTTAAAGCTACCAAGGTGAGACGAAAAGGGAAGTTGCTAAATTTGTGAGAACAAGGCAACCTACTATCGCACTTGCAATTCGCTTGTAATTTGTTTCTTGTTCATTTCACCATGCCCTCGTTTGAAGTGCTTCCTTTCTTCGTACTTTATCGATCGTTTTTCTCTGTGTTCCACGTTAAGATCTAACTAATTCTAGAGCGTTTATTTGTGTTAAGGACGATCGCTGAAACAAAATTGTGGTCTTTCATGAATTGTAAATGGCTTGGCTTTGTTTATGTCTCAAAGGTGATCTTAAAAAGTCGCACTTTTAGAGGCGCAGGCCGTTTATTGTGCAGGTTTTTTAAATGAAAATGAAATGTTCTTAATCCACCTTTTTTCTTCGGCATGTAAAACTGAAGCTAACGGAAGTTGATAATTAAACGTTTGTTTTTAAAAAGGACATTTTAAGATAAGTTAACATTTCAGCGTGGCACTTTCTTAGTTCTATTTGCAATTACTTCCCCGATCTTTACATTTCTCATGTCAGTGTTGTCACTTGGCCTATTTTTGGATTGTTCATGTTACCTTCATTTAATTTATTTAATATCAGTTCAAACTTTATAAACATTATTCAGTGCCGCTGGTAACTCATTATTTTGACTTCATTGCTGTCGTAGTTACGGTCGCGTCCCGATCAACAAGTTTACAAATCCAATATTACTTCCTATGTCTTTAAATATAAACATTTATATTGTTATCATTTAAATGGTTAAATGACTCGATATACCGTCACAAACTTGTAATTACTTACATGTACTTGAGGTGCAGTGATCCTTGTAGAATGATTGCTTTACGAATATTTACAGCCTCATGGTTATATCTACCTGGTAATGGAAAAAAAAACCGCTAAAGCAAACATTAATACAAGTAAAACTTAGTTATGTTTAAGTGAACCAAAATGCAAACTTGATATAAAGCAGAGTTTAGAATGGATTTAGAATCATTCTCAATATTTGAGATTTAAAGGGGAACAAATAAGGTGTATCACCTTTGTATTGAGTGGCTTGTTAAAGATAATTTATCTGAACAGGACTCTGAATGCATACTGCATGTTACAAATTTGCACCTTGTCACAAGGGACAAAGCACATCTTACTGATTACAGGTAATACACACACACACACACACACACACACTAATTGATTGTTAAAAGTATAATGCAAGTAGTGAGCAAAATTTTTTTTTGTATTATGTGGGATTCATTACTTTGGCCTCTAGTTTTCTAAAAGTACTCTATGGTATTACCTGGGAATCCAGTTAATGGCATGAGGTACCTTCTGAAAGGAAAACAAAAACAAACCTTTAAAGTGCCTTCTATGGGACAAACAAAAATATCTACTTTGCTCAAAAATTTAAGCCTGAAGGACACAAATGAATCAAAGTTTGGACTGTTAAGTGTGGTTATCTTGTTGCTATAATTTTGGCTGTCATTTTGCATTGTTGCACAATAGAATTATTCGACCTATTTTGTGCATTGTGTTGTCCTGATATGGTATAAGGTGTAATGGTGGAAAATTAATGCTCACTGGTACAGCACAGGTTCACACTATAGCCTCCAGTCACTAAGTTTATTACATGGTGCAATTTTTTTTGCAAAATCACAATCATTTCTTTTAGCCACAAGAAATTGACAGTGTGAGCCTGACCTTTCTTTCCCAATTTACAGTGCCCATAACCAGCTTTAATGATAACTGAAACACTGTTTTTTCAGTTCATAGTCTTGAGAAGACATGGCATTGCGCATGAAAGGACGAAGTGGTTGTCCATCAGACCAACTGGAATATGACATATTTTGGACAGAATATAGGGCCATTGAGGAGAGTCGGATTCCAGTAGCTGACGAGGATCATGATGATGAACACACTAAAGAACCTCAAGGAGGTACAAACTCAAGTCAATATTTTATTCATGTGACTGGCAAGGAGTAATAAATAGACATGTTGTGTTACACACAGTTTGCTTCAAAGGTCCTATACACTGCCTCAAGTTAGACAATTTTGGGCAGGTATAGCATATGCAAGTTATTCATTAAAGTTCACTGTTTTTACATTATCTCTATGATAATTAAAATTTGTTATGCTTAGCTATGATTAATGCTATTTGTCCCTCTTTGTGTTTGTTTAGGGATTGAAAATGCTATACAACAATGAAATCTGGTCAGCAGTCTGCAAACTTTTGGGGAAATGCTCACAACTGTAAAATCTGTTACTAACTAAACTTTCATTGTAGACTAAGATATCCATTTTACTACTTAAAGTTTCTCTCACATCACTAATCCTTAAGAATATGTGTCTTCTCCAATCTACAGAATGTGAACAGGAACTACAGTGGCTCAAAGAAGCTGGATTTGATACCATTGTAAAGAAATATAGAGGTATATATTAACCAACTTCAGTTTAGTATTTGCTGAAAAATCAGTGCAGAATATTACTGTTGTTATTACATTATACTGTATATTCTATAGACTCTATATTATGGTGTCTGGTCCTGGTGATGGACAAAATGCTGATCCCCAGTCCATGGATTACCCTAATGGACTACCCAGAAGGACTACCCCAGCAGTGCTTGTAATTAAAAAAAAAACCAAGTTGTCCCTATTTCAAATGCAAGTCAACCTAACCCCTGGCTCTGGTCCTCATGATGATGGCTTGGTTGCCTATAAAATATTGTATAATTTGTTTAATAGTTATATCTGGCCCCCTGAGATAAAAAGAAAATGTGCAATGACTTACTTAGAGTAAGTCCTTTAAAAAACAGTAGTCTATTATATTATTACTAAATAATAGCTGGGTTTACAAACCTATAATTAAGTATCAACAATTTTAATGGAAGCTGGCTTGCTTCTCTCTGACAGCCATGGTATTTATTGGAATTTTCCTCCCTATAAATGTACATTTGATGATATTTGACAACTTTGAAAGTACTTTCCCCAATGCTTCAGAAAAGAAATGACTACCTGCTTGCAATCCTATATTGGGGAGGCCTGGGTTTGAGGGTTTGGTGGTTTTCAGCATTGGTCAATGAACAAAAACACCAGATTTAAATCTTTTATATACCAGTCCAGAATTCCGTTGTGCCATAAGTATCATTCAGCTTCTTAAGTACATTTCATATCATTTATTTCAATTGGTGATTCCACATTCCTAAACTATAAGGAAATTGGAGTAAAAGGTATGAATGATTGAATCTTTTTCAACAGATAGCAAAGAAATTGATCATAATGATGTAGATTTTGAGAAGATCACTGGTTCCCTTACAAGGAAACAAGCAGAAGCTGTCAGAAAAAGAATAGACACCTTAAACCAAAGTACCAAGAGAAAGTTAGGTGTGTGTGTGGCCCAGCCAGCCAAACATTCCGACAGTAACTATCCAACAGATGTGAGAACAATTTTTCCAGTAAAAACTTGCGGGCAGCCCAGTAATGTAGAGCAGATACCCACCACATCAAGGCCATCACTGCTCAGAAAGTCTTACAGTGAAGGAATACATGTGCAGAAGTCACAATCATTTAAGAATGGAGCAAGGGACAATGAATTTGCACAAACCACATCGAGGCTTTCGCATTCAGCTGGCATGCTTTCATTTCCAACAGTGGGTAAAGAGTTAACAGGGCTTCATTTGCATCCAGGACATGCAGTGGTTCCTGAGAGAAGATCTAGCGATGAATCTCGCTATCGAAAAGGTAAACTCTTTATATGCTTATCCCCCTAGTTTGGCAATACATACTGGATATCAAACAAGACTTACAAAAGCATATGCCAGCCAAGTAAAATTACCATTTAATTTAAAGTCTGCTCAATTTCTGAGATAACACAATTAGGTATATGATTTACCTAACTAGTAGGTATGTGTAGTATCCCATGTTTCAAATTCTTGTTTGGTGTAAATTCTTTGCTTCTCTTCTACTCTGTTCTGAGCAAAATTTGCTGGGTTTGATCAGTTGTTCTCTAAATAACCCTGTTATGTCAACATTATTATTATAAATAATCTGCTTGTCACTCGTTAGTTTTTTTCCTATGCCAGGATACATTCTAGTCAGGCAGGTATAAAAATGGTCTTTGTTATATTATTATAAATAATCTGCCTGTCGTTCTTTTGTTTTTCCCTAAGCCCTCACAGATTCCAGTTAGGCAGGTGTAAAAATGGAAAATGGTCTTTTATTATATCATTATAATAACCTGCTCAGCAGTTATTAGTTTGTCCTTAAGCCCTGACACATTCTAGTCAGGCAGGTATAAAATTAATGGTCTAATCTGTAAATTACAGGATTCCAGCAAGTAAAGCATCCCCATGGGGGATCTGTATTTTATTTGACTGGAACAACAAAACAAGAGCTGTTCCACACTGCCGAAAAAACCAAAGAGTCGTGCGTGGATGAGATAATTAATGCTGATCTTAAAGGTCTAAGTGTATCACCACCTGATTCCAGCCCAGACTGTTTTCATGAGGTTCCTGTTGACTGTCCTGAGGAGATTCCAGTCGATGTTCCTCCAGACAGGGTTCATGGAAAACCAGTAAGAGTTAAAATGACTAAGACCCTAACTTTGAACAGCATGGCCAAACAGCTTTTTCTAGTTTCGATTAAAGGATAACAATATTGTACTGTCTGTTCTCCCTTTAAGGTTAAGGACCCCACCAAAGAAGTTTTAGTATAAGACTGACAAGCATCTTAATGATGTAAGAGAACATGTTTTTTTATTTGTTGGCACAGAATGGGAAAATAATCTGCAATGAGAAGCCTTTCAGGGAACCACAATTTCCACGATTACCAGTAAGTTTTTTTTATGTTTTTACATACAAGGATACAAATAATTCTGGAATACAAAGTCTGCCAAGTGTAGCTGCAATGTCTTGAGAATAATTACCCTTTTTGAACCAGATATATGCAAAAGCTATGTTGCTATGTCAGACTATTTTTTAGCTATGTTTGCTAAATAGTGCCCATGTATTGCCTATGAAACATGTCACAAGCCTAGAACAAAGAAAAAATTCTGAATCCCCACGTGGAATCAAACTTCAGACCTTTGGATTCTGAGCTCCGATACTCTACCACTGAGTCACAGATACTCTATGGTGAACAAGGCCCATCGGAGCACAGAATCCAAAGGTGTGAGGTTTATTTCTAAAATTACTGTGTTAAGCACTGAAAAATAAATTGAACCTAAGCACATATTGTGTAGGAAATTTTCACATAGTTTTAAAAGAGCATAAGGAATTTCAATAAGTAGTAAAGTAAATTTAATTTGGTCATAGTTTTATGGTTTTTCACAGTTGAATGTATTTGAATACTAACTTGTTTATTTGTGAAGAGCCCTTTAACAACAAAAATTGAAGCAATGGACTCAGAGCCAAATTCCTTTCAACCAAACAAACCAAACATACTTCTAATATTTTTAATACAATTTCTGTACACAGAACTTTACACTCACAAAAGATGAACTGGGTGTGACAAGTGTAGGAGATATCTCCTTACAGGATATGGAAAAAGTGCGGTCCCTGTCACTCATAGAACTCACAGCACTGTTTGATTCCCACGGACTGGCCCTTCACAGACGGAAGCCAGTCAGGAGAAGAGTTAGAGGTATGGAATATTGTCCAGTGAAACAAAAAATTGGCTTGATTTGTTATGATTCCTTGTTATCAGTACACCTCTGCCAAAGAGACAGACAGGCAGACAAACAGCTAGAGTTGTCATGATTTACTACAATTCTACAGAAGGTAGATTCCTTTGCACTCTGTGTATTGCAACAATAGCTGCAATTTGGCATTCAAATATGTAGGAATATTTATTTGGGAACAGTTTTCTGACAGAGGAGCTGAAGGAAAACTGTGAGCTTTGAGGAACAGATAATGTTCAAGGACAAACATACAAGCATATTTTTGCACCATATGGAGGCTATTGTGGTTAATATCTTTCAAATATTTTTAACATGTGGGGAAAATGTTTAAGAACAGCTTACTGTTTACTGTGTACTCTCTGATATGAATTTATGAACATGAAAAAACATTGAACAACCACACAATGTTATCTTATGTTAGGTGAAATTTTAAGCAGATTTTTCCATATTGGATACATGTAAGGTTTGAAAATTGGGAATATCAGTAGGGGTATGTCCTTGGATATCCCCCAATTTGAGTTAGGAGACATGTAGTCATGCAATGTGTTTTAACCAATTGCATGCAAGCAAAATATTTGTTGGATTATAATCCTCCTCATTGTTGTTACTATTCATTATAATAATTCTAATTTGTTATCTCAGAATCAGGAATCTTTGGGGTGCCACTACAGAATCTACTTCAAGAGGACAAATTGAAGAATGAGAAAGTAGTAGTTCCTTCCTTTTTTACTGAGGTAAAGGTTAATATTCAGAGCTAATTTCAGACTGCATTTGAAGCACTTTATTTCTGTTTTTCATGTGGCTGGTGTTAAATTTCTTTCAGCTCATTAGACAATTGGAGTCAAGAGGTATGTTGACCTGTCTGCATTTTGATACTCTTATTAACTCTCTGTTACTGTGTCATCTCCTCCTCATTACTTTGGAATGGCTTCCACCAAAAGTGGTGGAAGAGTGTTTGCATTCCTTTTTTTGTGAACTAAATGTTAGGGCCATGTGCTTTGAGTTTCTTGTGGTGTAATTCAATTATTTTTTAGAGTTTTTATAGTATACTTAAGTCATATTGTCATGGTCAGTCAAAGGGCTGTCACAACTTAACCTTGTTGTAATTGACATTTTTCAGTTAAATTACTTTGCATTAGTAGATGAATCTCTATAATAATTATTTTTCACAGGGCTAAAGGAAGAGGGAATCTTGAGAGTTCCTGGAAATTCAGGAAGAGTTAAGGTATTAGTGACTTTTGTTCTGCTTCTTTTCTTTTTTTAAATTTGCTTTACAGTCATCAAAACCTGTGTCATATAGTTAAGTATGACTGGATCTTTTTACAGGCACTAAGGGAAGAAGTGGAGGAAAAGTTCAATGATGGGTACTTTACATGGGATGACAGAAGACCTCATGATTGTGCAGCTTTGCTTAAACAGTTCTTGAGGTTAGGGGTTTTTAGTGGTTGAAATGTTAGTGTTCTAGATTACCCTGAGCTATGGAGATGTTCCCTTTCCATTCCAGAATTTAACAAAAATATTCTGAATGGTTACTTCTCAAAATTTCACTTTTAATGATCATGTATGACTACAATCCCATCAAATCTCTTGAACAAACCTGCCAAAAAAATTCCTGTTCATTAAAGTAAAGTAGGAATATTCACTAATAACCTTCAAAATATTTCTGTGTCCGTTTTGTATTAAATTCAAAAGTTGTTATTGTATCCTAACAGGGAACTTCCTTTTCCTCTTTTAACTCAAGAATATCAACCAACATTTGCATCAGTAGAAAGTGAGTGGTGATTCATAATGTCACTTATAGGATAAGTAATAGCAATAATTTATTTATTGTCCATAGTGTGGGAAGTGGTTGCTCAATCTTCTGAGCAGGGAAGCTCATGTATAAAATGCTCAACAACAAAAAACAAAAATATAAGTTAAAAAATTAGGTAAAAATAAAGCACAAATTATATAAGATTGTATATAGATATGTGAGGATCTTCATAGAGTTTCTGGATGTATCAAGACTATCAAAAGGATATATTAACAATGAAAATGATAAATCTAATTCACAGGCAGGAGTGACACAAGCACCCTTTAATTTTAAACTGCTTACTAATAGTTAATATATCTTACTGCCTTTACACTTGCCTTGCTCTCAACATTTGGCATTTTGGCTGAGTTGGTACAGAGTTGTGGCAGCCATTCACAATGTGTGAGTTACAGGTTTGAGTATGGTGCAAGCCAAAAAGATTTTTTTGCCATCCTACGTGAAAGAATAGATTCGTCCCTTGACAAAAACTGGTCAAATATGATGCAATCAAGAGATGTTAAAAGTTACTGAGCTCGGTTATAGGAAACAGAGAAACCTTTCATTTGTGGCTTGACAAATACAAAATGTATCTAATCTGGGCTCACAATATTTTAATTTTTTTTTCAGGTATACCAGATAGAAAACAACAGCTTCAGGCATTGAATCTGCTGATTATGTTGTTGCCTGCAGTTCATCGGGACTGTCTAAAAGTAAGTTGTTGAGTTATGAGCATTTACAAAGTGGTTAAATTTTAAGGCAGAAAAAAAAAGACTACCAGTCATAGTGCCTGATGTAGAGAGAAAATTGTTAATGAAGCTCTTAGAAGGTTGTGTTCTCAGTGCAGTACATTATTGTAAACATGTTCTTGTGTTGCTTGAAGATGTTTGGTTTGCAGTCTCTTAAATACAGTATTTCAACAAGGTTTATAACCAGGAAAAGTAAATTTTTCTTATAGATCCTCGTTCACTTCCTAAGTGGAGTTGTTGCCCAAGAAAAACATAACAAAATGGGTTTAAACAGTGTGGCTATGATTGTAGCTCCAAATCTGTTCATTTGTTCAAACAAGTCTCAGCCATCTTTACAAGAAATCAAACAAGCTCAAGGCACTGTCAACATTGTCAGAATGTTGATCAAGTATCAAGCAATTCTATGGACAGTAAGTTCTTTGCTACTCAGTGAGTATGAATAGTGACATATGCTATCTAAAACCAATAGGGTGATTTGTTATAATCATGGTCATATTACTCTTGTGTTCAAAAAAGCTGGTTTTACACATAAAAATGATTCATTGAGGATTAAGGTGAAGTAAATTGGTTGAGTATGACACTGTCCATTTAGAAAAGAGTCAAACTTGTCCTTAACAGTCTCCTCTGACACCAGGGGGAAGAGAGTTGACCTCCCAACAATGATATAGGGGTTCAGTAAGACTGATTACATGAACGTTTGGTGAGTTTTACTCTGATCTATGTATGTGGCATCACAAAGGAGAAGGTGAATAGATGGGTAGAAGTAATACGGTTGGTATAGATGTACTTGGATAGTGTAGAACAATTTTTTTTGTACACGTTTCATTTCTGCTCAGATTCCTGGATTCATGGTGATGCAGGTTCGTTATCTCTACGAAGCTGAAGGGAACAAGAAAGCCAAAGATGCTAAGGCGGTGGGTGTCTTTACTTCAGTGTCTAAGAGACAGTTGGCTTGAAGTTAGGGGTTGTTAATTCGAGAAGAATTCGTGTGAAGAATATCAAATTTAACTGATTAAAGAACAGTCCCACAAAAAGTTCTACATGTCTTTTTGAGCATATATTGTTGTGATTGACAGGTCAAGAAGTTATTAGCTAAACGTGCACGAAGTGAGGGAATGGGTGGATCTCCTCAGAAGAAACACTCAACTGGAGGAGACTCTCCTCTTGTCTCTATGGATGTAAGTGTCATCAAATAATTACTGCAGCTGTAGACTGTCTTCGTACATGTAGCACATCAATTTAGAAGATTGCTACTTCTTCCAGAGATGATGAAAACTCAGAGCTGTGTACTAAAAGGTTCAGGGCAAAGAATTTACTGCAAGTAATTCATTTTTGTTTGTCTCGGATTCGTTTATCCTCAGATGGATCATCTTCAGTTGATTGATATGTTAATATTTAGTAACAACTAAAACAATCAATTTTGTTTGTCGTAGTCTGATCATGAAAACAACATCATAAGAGTGCAGGCACCAATGCTGAACAAAGTTCTCATGGCAATTCAGCTGACTGAGTTCATGCGTGCTGGTGACATTGTCTCCAAGTTCCGTCGGCGAGCATCTCCATCAGAAAGCCCAGATAAAAGCTCCAAATTTTTAGAATCATCATCCAGCAGTTCTTATCGCAATTGTGTCAACCCTCATAACAACAACAGATATGCGTCTGATAACTTTTTTCTCTATGAGGCCGGCGGGAACATTGGTACTATGCAGTTTCTTAGCTTGTTTAATCATTATTCTACTTGTAAATAGTTTGCCAGTTACTAACTGAGACTAAGACAACTATTTTCAATTGACAACTGCATGCATGTCTGTTTTTTATGCCATGTGACAGTCTTCACATTCAGCAAAATTGTGTTGTTGTGTGTCTACTTGTACGCAGGTCCGTTTTTTAAGTGGCTCAACAAACACCTTATATTTGACTTTTTAAGCCATATTTAGGGGTTTTAGCCATTCTTGTACACGCGTTAATCTGTAGTACACATAGATATGTGTGTAGATGTAAATATTTTGTTTATTTGTATTTATGAATGTTTCTAATTTGATTGACAGGTGAGCGCTGCCTTGATAATGATACTAATATGATGGCCTTACTGAAAGTCAACCCGCATGCAGAGTGGATTGTTAAACCTCGTGATTATTACCTTAACCTGTAGAAAAGCTAGCAAAAAGTTTTATTCCTTGTTAGATTTACAGAATTGTTGTATAGAAAGTGTCTAGCAAGTAATGTATAATCAAATTATCTTGCCGGATCATTTGCATTTATATTTTTATTAGTCTGAAATATTTTGCGGAAAATTCTAATATTTCTGCTGGTGGAAAGTTAATTATTAGAACTTGACAAAATTATTACATAAGTTGTTTAATCAATTGAATACACTAGTGTTACTAATTTATTCAAATGAGAGTGAGAGAGAAAACGTCATAATCAGTTTAAAAAAAAAATGATTGTTCCATTCTAAGGCATTATGCTTATTTATTTTAATGATTTATAATGAATTAACGGAAAGGAAAACAGTGATGTAATATATACCGTAGTTGAGTCTATCTTTTAACGTTCTAATAAGTTAATTATTTATAAGGAGAGCAGTCATCTGTTTTAAAAAGATGTTCTTGGTAATAGTCGGCTTGTTTGCTCTCATTTTTCAAACAAAAGTTAACAAGTTTTGTACCGTTCACCAAAGTTAGAATCATTTTTGAAATGTTAAAAATTTGTACTCTCCAAGTGAACCAAATCAAGTACTTGTATTTCTACTCCAAGTTTCTTACCCTCAGCAAAAAAAAGGCTTGTTGATAATAAAATTGTGGTGGGAGGAGATGGGCATTGCGAATCACCGGGTTTCGCAGCAAAGAACTAATGTTATCTTTTGATGGAGATAACAAAATGATATATCTTTGAAATTAAATTTAAGGACAAGCAGCACGTAGGAGTAGCACAAATATGGAAAATATAGCCCTCCAGAATGTCCAGCGACTCTACCTCCCTCTCTTTCTCTGATTGGTTTTTTTTTTTGGTTTTCTCTGATTGGTCAGTTTAGCCTGATGGTGCCGTATACATGCACATCCGTGACCTTTTGGCTCTACAGAATGTAGACGGACGTCACAAGACTGCAGATCAGCAGACCGCGGAATCTGTGGAACCAAAATTTTTTTGGAAAAGAAACGTAATAGGATAAAATAAAAGCTAAAAAGACCTTTTACACTTTCTGGAAATTCGTTTTTGGGTATAAAGAAGAATATTTTAAAAGAGAAATATGTTTTGACTGTCCTTGATGCCCAACTTTAACTGTGGCGGCATTCACAATATTACAGTAATACAAAGGTATTTAATGTCATAGGGAGAAATAGGCAGTCACCTACCCTGACAGCAAAAAATTGAACAATAATTTGAAAGCTCTGCCGGTTTGGGTGCCTCGATATCCGAATAACGCCCCATCCGAAGGCTCTAAGCAAACCTTAAGGCTGGAATTCACTATACTTGACCCTGGAATAAGGAATACGAGCATAAAAAAACATCATCGCCCGCGATGCTTGTAGAATTTCGGGGATATTGGGGCGTCCGGAGCGAATTTACGGCATTTTGCGTCCAGTGTATTCGTTTGGTTGGCGTTCATCACAGACGTATTGTGGAAAGGATTATGTCGAGAGCAAAGCAGATGAACTAAAACCGAGCTAAATTGCTCTTAATCAGCCCCAAAAAAACACAAGATATAAAAGAACAACCACTCGAGCGGGGTAAATTTGTTCTTACTCAAATCTAGTTCCGACCTTTTTAAGGTTGAGAGCGCAACTGTTTATTGCCATGCAAATCTTTATATTTCACCCATTGCGCAAATTGAACGTAATTGCTTATAGGTAGATGCTCACTTTTGAACTTGGACTTCCTGTGGTTGGACGTCAAGGTAGATAAAAAATAAACATATTTCTCTTTTAACGTTATGTTCTTTATACCCGAATAAGACATTTCGAACGGCGTAGAGATATTTTTAG